GCTTTAGAATCTGTGAAGATAGCCTCCACCCCGAGCCCTCCCCCCATCGCAGTGGCTAGGGGACAGACTGCAATGACCTCAGACCCTACCCCACTTTTCCCGGGTTGCCGCAGCAACTGTCCAGGGCCCTCTGGGTGGGAACAGTGGATCTCAGGACATCCCTTTGCCCCACGCGCATCAGCGCCCCGTCTCTTTGGGTGGCTCTATCGCCAGCACCGCGGACAGCGCCCAGGACTGCCCGTGGGTAACCGGGCGCGCCAACTCAACCAGAGAGGCTGCACGCTTCCCTCTCGAGCCCCTTAGCCCGCCGCTCTCCCGGCCCCTCCCTTTGTCTCCTGGCCCTCGTCCCCCTCTTCGGGATCTCAAGCACTCAGAGCTGTGGACACACGTGGTCAGGGGCCGGGTGGCCACAGTCTCCCCCGCGGTCGCCCCCACCCTCCCCGTGACGTCCTAGGCATGCGGGCCCCTTTGTGTCCCGCGGCCAGATCCCCGGCCCGGCAGCTGGGCCGCCCTCTGGGCGGGCGCATTGTTCGCCGGATTTGTCCGCGGAGCGAGGGGCCGCCGGGGGCCGGGGCTCGCCTTTTTCCCGCGGGAGGGGCGCCGCGCCGGCCGGGCTCGCGGGCCATTTCCATGAGAAAGGAGCGGCGGAGGCGCCTCTCTTGGCATTCACCGCGTGCCTTAATTGTATAGACATTAAATCAAGGTCCGCTGTGAACACGCAGAGGGGCCCTCAGGGCTGCGGCGGGCGGCGAGCGGCTGGGCCGGGTCGGGGCCGGGGCTGCGGCTTGCGTGGGGTCCTAGCCTGAGGGGCGCGAATGCTCCAGCTTCTTCGCGGCGGGGCGGGCGGGCGGGGCGGGGCTCCGCGCTAAGCTGGCAGTGCAGCTCTGGTCCGCCCCCAACTCCGAGGAGCCCGCTCTCCTTCCCCTCCCCGAGGTGGAGAAGGGCCTAGGCAAATCCCTTGGGGTGTCCCTGCAGCAGGGACCCCTCGGAACCGCGGCGAGAGAGACGCAGGAGCCGGCCGGGGTGAGCGCGCTCGTGCTCCGGCCTGCCGCGGTCTTCTGAGGGGTGCGGAGCCCGCTCCACCCCGGCGGCGCAAGCCTCTCCGCAGCTGCCCTTCCCCGGCTCATCTTCCCGGCCCCAGCAGGAGCGCGTGAATGCGGTGAAAATAAAGAACCTCGATGTTCGAAGATGAAAAAGCAGTCTCTTTTTTTTACAACCCGCTGAGCTCTCTTCCCTTGCGCCTCAAACCGGCGAGAAACTGCTCGAGGAGAGAAAGACGGGGTGACCCGAGAGGCCGCTTTCCGGCTCGCCCCGGCCGGGGGCCGCCAGCGCAGTTACCCGTCCGGGCGCGAGCCGCCGCCGCCTGCTGCTCCTCGGCTGCCGCCGCCTCCACTCCGCAGCAACGCCCGCGCTGTCGCCCGCTCCCGCCTCCTCCGCCTCCTCCTTGGCGCCCGCAGGACCCGCACGCCACGGTCCCGGGTGGAGGAGAGCGCAGGGACACCGCCGAGGAAGCTAGGCAAATTCCCGAGGGCCGGCTGGGAGCCCAGCGTCCGGGAGGTCAGCACTGCGGGAGTCCGACTCCCACTCTCCTGGCCCAGCCGGGGTGCAACCGTCCCCGCGCTCGCCGCCGCCGCCGCTGCCTCCGCTCGTATCCGCGCTCGGCTCCGGCACCGGGCGATTATCACTGGGGCGCGCGGTGACGTCACCCGGACACCGGCTCCGCCGCCTCCTCTCGGAGGTGTCCTTGAGAACTGAGGGGCACGCGCACCGCGTACACGCGCACTCACGCACCGCGCGACCGGTGCCTCCCGCGCACACGCTCGGCGTCCCGCTCCGCGCGCTCCTCGACTCACACGGCCGCAGCCCCCGAACGCCTTCGATTGTGCCCGGCGCCCCGCGGTCACACGTATGCGGAGAAACCGCCTCTCTGACACTCTGGAACCGCTCATACTGTCCTGCCGCACCACCCACGCAAAATCTGCTTCCGCAGCCCACCGACCGCAGCTCCTCGACACCCAGCAGCCACACCCCGCTGTGCAGCGAACACACTAAGACTGCCTCCTCACACCAGCGGCGGGTCCTTCCATAATAACCAAACCACTCAACACAGTGCCTCTTGCATCCCTCTCTCCTGGGGGGAAAGAAAGGGGTCCCAGCCTCCCGCTGACGGCCTTATATGGAGGAGGGAGTTAGACGTCTCCCCCAACCCCCACCAGAGACTGCTCCCCTCTTTCATCCTTGCCTAGCTGGGTAGCGAGTCCCTGCGTACAGGGATTCGAGCACAGTCCACACTTCACAGCTGACTGCAATCAGATCTACTTCTTCCAGCCTCCTGAAGGGTGACTACCCTGATCCGCGGTCCTCTAGGGCTAGGGATCGGCGACTTTCCCCCTCTAAAAAACGCCACTCCGGGCCTCCCCAGCGGGCCTTTGTTCCTGGTACAGACTGGAGGAACCGCACAGAAGCAGGCAGGCCTCTGGCCCCCTAATTTTTCCTCCCTGGGTCAGTCCAGCCCTTGAACCACCTGCCCTCTAGCAGAAACTAGATGACCCAGAGTACAGATTCTGTCCCTTTCCTTTCCAACCTTCTCCAGCCCTGTGAAAGCCCCGAAGACACTCCACTGATTTCCGGAGATCTCGTGCCACTCCTGGAAGATCCCCAGAGGGTCAGACACCTCTCTAAGCCCAATCCACAATCATTCCCTTTACGGGTGTCAGTCGCAACTGACGCTGGGCAATCCCCACTTACACAGCCAGCATAAGCCCACCTTTGCTTATGCCCAACCCCAAACCAAGGAAGCTACCCACGACCTGCCAGCACCGGCAGCCCATGGACACTGGCTGACTGGGGGCTCCGAGCAGAGGCGACTTTTCTCCGCCTGGCCAGCGGTCCCTCACCCTAGAGGGTACTGGGACAGGTCGGACTCCAAAGAGAGGTCCAGAACTCTAAAGCTACAGGGTCTGCTGTCCATGGTGTTGAAGGCATAGCCTGTAGGAACCCTTTCTCACCCGCGGAACCTCGATTCTCTCCCACCCAGGTGCTCCCAGGACAGCAGGCACCCTTATCTTCCCTCAGTCCCACCCTCCTTTTTTTTTTTTTTTTGCAATGGTCTTACATCTTCGCTTCTAGCCTTCCCAGAGCTTGTTTCTATTTGGAGGGCGCGCGGGGGATGGGGGTGGCACTCCCAAGAGCCTCGGGTTTAGGAGCGCGCTTGCTCTGGGGCCGGCTCTGCACCGTGACTCCTCAAAGACCAGTTCCCTTCACAGACCAAGTACCTCCCTTCGGCCTCCCCTTACTATTTGTGGGAGATTGGGGCTGCACCCCTTCCAGGGGTCAGATCAAGTTTATTTTTCTCTTCTCCGCCGAAACATGCTGGCGCGTTTCCTCCTGGTACTTCTCTGCGTTCAGTCCGGAGCACCGGTTAGGATCCCTGGCTCTCTTTTTCCAATTCCCTGCGTCTTGCCGTCTGGTCTGGTGGACAGGGGGAAGGGCTGTCCTGGGCGTGGGGGTGGAGCTGCCTGTGCGCTGAGAGAAGGGGAGCCCATCCCAAGCTGCCTTTATTTTTTTTTGAGTCCTCCTGGTAGGGACCTTTTTGGTGACCCTGGAACCTTCAGAGGTTCCGTAACAGTCAACTTACTGATGCTGGGCCTTGACTCAGGTTTGTTCTCCCCTGGGCTCCGTTTGGCCCAGCCTCACCTCTCCACGCTCTTTCTTTCCGGCGCAGCCGCCTCTTCCCAGCACACTGCGAATTTGTGTTTGTGGATTTATTTATTTGCTAGCTCCTGGGTACGCGGGGAAGAGGTTGGGGCACGAAGGTGGGACGACATCCCGTCCAGTTGGCTCAGGCTCTGGGTTCCGGAGGCCGCTGCTCCGCGCGCACAAAGGCCATGCGCGCTCGCCGCAGCCCGGCAACTTTGAGACGGGTCAGGTGGCTCAAGGCGGGGTGGGGGCGGGAGAAGGAAGGGAAGGATGCAGGCTACACCCCCCTCCTTTTCCCTCTTGCCCTCCATCCGCGAGAGCCAGCAATAGCGTGGGATTAAACAGATCAACAGAAACCCGTGGAGAACCCCCCTCCCTTTCCGCCCTTTCTTCTTCGTCACACCACCGCCCCCCCTCCGCTCCCCTCCTCTGCAGGAGGCTTGCCATTCCTCCAGAAAGGGGAGGGGCCTTGATCCACATCTGGGAACAGCTGGCCCACAGTCTCTTGACCCTTGATCCCACCCTGGCTTCGAGGAGAGGATAAATGGGGGAAGAAGGCCTTCAGGCTGCCACAGCACCCACAGCCCCCTTTGCATGCATGGCCTGGGGGAGGGAGTGGTCGGACAGATGAAGGGGCCACAGTACAGATGTGGCCAGCCGAGGGAAGAAAGAACAGCTTTGCGGGACCCTTTAGAGTCTTTAAATGGTCCATAGCTTCTCAGATATAGCTTGATGATCGAGGTAGCTTGAAGGCCTTCACTCAGGAAAGTCAGGCACAGTTCAGGTGAGGGCATCTGGGGTTGAGAACGAAGCTCTTGAGGCGATGCAAGGGCATAAACTTGATGCCCCAGGGGAGAGGCCCTGGAGGCACCCCACCCCCCACCCCCAGGTGCCTGGGAGCACACTTTACTGCCAGCCTTATCCCGTGGCGAGAAAGTATAAAACCTTGACTGGCTCCCATACAGCACTCAGAGGTTATGCCTACCAACCTGGAAATTCCTCTAACCCTGGCTGCCCCTAGGCTATGGCCTGGGTGGGGCCAATAGGGAAGGAAAGATCTTCTGGCCTTGCTCCTCCTAGCCCTTTGTAAAGGTGGGGGGGGGCGGGACCCCCACCATGACTGAGTACTGAGGGCGGAGCCAGCCACCACAAAGACTGCAATTGTGAAAGAGGCCCTGGTGCACAATAGGGCAGGGGTGGTGGTTGGGGGGGGCTGGGCCCTCCACATGGAAATGAGGCCAAAGCCCCCTTTTCTCCCTCCTCCTCTGCCTGGCCTCCTCCTCCTCCTCCTCCTCCTCCTCCTCCTCCTCCTCCTCCTCCTCCTCCTCCTCCTCTGAGAGCACTGTGGACAGAACCCAAATGGAAGTCCTTGAAGTGAAATTCAGCTTGGTCCAGGGTCCCTCAGAATCTCCACCAAGGCCTTCAACACTGCTTAGACTTGGAAAGGCCAGGTAACAGCAGGCTGGGATGGGGGTGGGTGGGGGAAGGAGTGAGGAGTGCAAACAGGGCTGACCAGGGAGGGACAAAGAATGAGGGATCCAGGCTGATCTTCTGGCCTATGGCAGCGGCGGGAACAGTCCTTTTGTTCCTCAGGGTCCAGTCTTTTGGCTAGTGGAATATCCTTGGCTATGTTCTGACGCGCCTGTGAATCCTGTGTTTCCAGGTGACTCCCCCCCCCAGCCACCCACCAAGGCAAAGATGACAAAATCTGCTCTCTTCAGCACTGTCCCTTTCAGAGTGGGGCTTGGCTCTTATGAAGATATTTCTCTTTATCTCCAGGGCAAGCCTGTGACACCAGGCAGAATGCTGTGGAAGGCTGGCTCTACCCTAGGGGTCTTTTAATTTTTTTTAGTAAAAATTGCATTTATTTATTTATTGCTTATTTGTATGTATGTATTGGGGGACTGGAGATCATATGGGGGAACTTGTGGGAGTCAATCTTCTTCTTCCATTGTGAAGCATCAAACTCAGGTTTGGCAGCAAGTCCCCGTCTGGTGAATCATTTTACTTTCACCTAGGAACCTTGATGTCAATAAAAATCACCTGGGAGCTAGGATCCAGGGCTGCCCCAGTACTAGCCAGAAGAAGGGGTCAAGTACCAGAGCAGAAACCTGGGGACGGGGATGCTTTCTGGTCTCCTTGGAGTCTCCTGATGGGTTTCATAGGCCCACTTCAAGCATGGAAAATTCCTGGCAGGGTTACCCCATTAGAGGATCCTTCTTTCAGAACTTAGACTTCAGAACAGCCGGAACAGACCCCCTGAAGAGCAAAGGCAGGGATTCCTGGGGCCTGAGGAGTCTTCTCCAATGGGACCTTACCCCCTAAATGACTGCTCATCTTAGAGCCAGGCACAAGAAAGGTGGAATGGAGACCAAGGCTCTTTGCCACCTTTCCCCTTGCTGAATATGCACGGGGCAGAGTCCTCCATGCTGCTCCTGCTGCCTCCACCATTTATAGCCTGATCTCTGGGTAGGGAGCAAGGAGTATCTGGCTTCCAGGTGCTCCTCTGGACCCCCTCCCAGGTGCAGGCTCCCCAGGAAGACACCTTCCCAAAGTAGTAGAGAGAGGTTCTGCTCTACACAAGGGATGTTCTTCTTTGTACTGGCCCCTTAGGGTCTCTGAGGCCCCAGACGTCAGGGCCCCACAAGAGGAAGAAGCCCCATTACATGACACCTGCAATACTCAGCTGGCTTCATCTGGAGTCTCAGACTGAGGTTTCTGAGCTGTGTCTTGGCTCAGGGCTGGTGGGGACACAGCAGAAAGAAGCCCTTGCTTGGGCTACAGGGCTGTCTTGTCAAGGTATGCTGGGAAAGGGCTTGCTCCAGCTGGCTTGTCTGTAACACATCCAGCTGCGCTCTCCCTCCCAGACAGCCTGCTACCCTCCCAAAGGATGCCTGTCCCCATTGGTCTCTACGCACCTGCACAGGCTCAGCTAGCTGGGCTGTTCCACTGTCCTCACTGCCAGGGGATCTTTAGGAATGTCCAGGGTTTGCCGTCTGCTAATAGGACAGTAGCCCTTCCTTCCTTCTCTCTGCATCTGCCAACCCTGTAAATCACCTACCTCAGGGTTGCCCATGCTGGATTACCACAGCTCCCTGTGTTTCTCTGGGCTAGGCCTCTGGAAGGGGAGAGAAGAGGATGGGAGGGAAAACCCTGGATAGCAGGATTGGCTGTGAAGTGAGCAAATGCCTTGGCCCCACCTAACTCCAATTACAAGGAGGGAGCTCAAGAGCCCAGGCCAGTGGTGCAGAGGTATGGGCCACATGCTATAATGATTGGCCACAAGGAAGGTAGCGTTACTAGTCTGTGACAAGTGCTCGGTCCTCTTATGTGGGCAGTCTGGACAGGACAGGCTTGCCCAGCCTAGGCAGAGTTGCGTAAAGACTGCACCCTGGGCAGTTGTGCCCAGAGAAAGGCTTTCATCACGTCTGACACTCACAGATGCTCTCTGACATCCCATGATCAGGTTGGGATGTGGGTAGAGGCCATTTGGCCCATTTGTTCATAATTGTGTTCATTTTAAGATATTGTTCATTTAGGGCAAGTGGTAGTGGTAGTTCACTGATCGCAGAAATAAACTCTCTTTAAACATGGGCACTTAAATAAAAAGAGTGGGCGGAAGAGGTGTGAGTTCAACAGAACAGGAGGTGGGTGTCTGTTCCCAGTGGTGTGGGAAAAGCTTGCAAGGGGCTTAGGTGTTCCCCAAAGGTCTCTCCACCTCTACACAAAGGTTCCCATCAGCTGCAGTATCTCAAATTCTGATTTGTGACTTTTTTTATACCATTTTTTTTCCTGGAGGGTACTTGGAGGAAGGCTCTGTTGGCCTTGGCCTTGGTACACCTGGAATAGGTGTAGAGGGGTGGGATTGACCCTGGAGTTCCCCAGGCACTGGCCTTGTTATTGGAGGTTCCCCAAGCTAGACAGGGGAGGGTGCACAGAAGATGCCCTTCCTGGTGGGAGACATCTGGGAGCCTCTAGTGGTACTTCCTAACTCTACAGGGGCTGGCTTCAAGAGATCCCAGAACAAGAGCCACTATAGGATAGACGGTGGGCTACGTGATTCCCCAAGGGCCTGGAACCTGTAGGGTGGGGAGACTGCCCTGAGAAGAATGGGCAGGTGAGATGGGCATAAATCTCTATAGATGGAAGGATATAATTTAGTGTGTCTCAGCCCAGGAAGGGTAGGAGAGGGCTTGCAAGGAATAACCCAGAAGAGTATGGTGTAGGGCTTGAGCTCTGCAATCTCTCTCTCTCTCTCTCTCTCTCTCTCTCTTTCTCTCTCTCTCTCTCTCACACACACACACACACACACACAGAGAGAGAGAGAGAGAGAGAGAGAGAGAGAGAGAGAGAGAGAGAGAGAGAGAGAGAGAGAGAGAGAGAGAGAGAGAGAGAGAGAGAGAGAGAGAGAGATGCTGCAAGAGAGTGGCCAGGTCCTTCACTCTGGCAGCCTCTCTTGCCAGAAGCCCAGGGGTCCTTCTTCCCTTCGCTCTTTTCTGAGTGCCTGCTTAGGTCCCCTAAAGCCTGGAAGGGAACCAATCCACCTGTCCATTCTGTGCTTGGAATCCACTCTCTCTAACCGTGAGAACAGATGTGACCCCTCCCCCCGCATGCTGAGCAGGCGTGATTTGCACAAGGGTTTTGTGCTGCCCAGCTTAGGATGTGGGGGCTCTTAGTCCCATCTCCGCCTCCAGGGCCACTGCTCCTGAGTCCTAGGGTCGTACCAGGTCAGCCTCAGTGCCAGGTACCGCAGCCGGGGGAGGGGGGGTGGAGTCTGGAGGCTCTGCAGGCACGGTAGGGCTTTATCTGCTGCAGGCAACAGCCACCAGCCACCCTTCTTTAGGAGCCTATGTCCTTGATTCTGAACAGGGAGTGAGACGGTTAGAGCTGGGTGCAGAGCTTAGAGCAGGGAAAAGAGGTGCCAGGTGCCACGAGTGTGCCAGACCTCTGCTGCTCATTTGGCACATACAGTCCCTGCTAGAATCTACCTAGATATATGGTGTGGGGGGGGCAGCTGTCCCAAGGCCCTGCCTAAGCAGTCTCTTATTTTCTCCTGACAATTTTCCTGCTCTCCCTGCCAGACCCCAGCCCTCTCCATGAGCAGATGGCTACTGGTTCTAGACATTCACCAATGAGAGGCTTTCTCTGGGAACCGTGGGACTCATGAGGCTGGAGGAACAGGGAGTGCTACCTTGGAGCTGGTGCAGCCCCTTCCTGCCACTATAGGGCCTTACAGTATCTTGGGCTTCCTGCAGAAGTCTTGCCTTACAGAGGCCAAGTGAAGGCTCTCTGTAAATAGCTAGGAGGTGAAAAACACATCCTCCCCCATATGTCAGGAGACTCGTGTAAACCTGACCTGCGAGGGCTCCTAACCCTTTCTCTAGGCCCCCTCTCTATTCCCACATGTGTTCCTTGCCCCCTCTGTCTCCCCTGCCCCTCCCTGCACCCTCTTCCCCTAGGGTCTCTATGTTCTTACTCTCTTCAACACCCATTATTACTCAAAGGCCCAAGCGACGGGAACTGGACATTAGTCTCTAGGGTTCTCCCCAGACTCTCGGAGGGGTACGTCTGTTCCCCCAGGCAGGCCAGCATCCTGCTGACTGTCCCCTGCCGTAATGTCAGACAGGCTGGGAATGTTCCCACCTCATCATCTGATCCACAGTGCACTCCTCTGAGAACTGGAGACAATAAAGCCTGCCTCCTGGGGCTTCCCGGCGAATTTAGGCGGCACAAAGGCAGAGCCTGCGCCAGGGAGGACCAGGAAAAGGTGCATCCGTCCCACACCAGCAAAAGGGAGATCTTCACAGGGGCACAGGCTATGGCAGTGTCCGTACCGAGGAGGCGCTTAGCTGGCCAATAATCCATCTTTCCCATATTGAGGGGTTAAGCCTCCCCGAGAACTCTGGCTTCCACCAGACTTGAAAGAGGAGACTCCAGAATGGGCTGGCGGCTGGTCCTCAGTTCTAAATGGCCGCGGCCCCACATTTCCAGGAGAAGGGACCAAGGCAGTTGAAAGTCCAGGAAGGGGGCAGCTTTTTCCTCCGGCTCAGCCACTCACTCCTGAGGATGCATTGGCCGGTGGGTGCTGTCCAAGGTGCTGTCCAAGCTAGAGGACTCTACCTGATGGACGATGGTAGGTAGTTCTCAGGCAAGGCAAGTTAATTCGAGAGGACCGCCAGCAGCGTACCAAGGACCAATCACAGGTATAGAGATGACACACACAGGGTCTCCCGACCCAGCTCTGAATTCCTGAGAGGCACCTGTTCGTACACCACCCCTATGACCTGGGCCTGTTAGGGACAGATAGGGGGCCTTGGTGTGGGGCAGTGACTGAAAGCCCCCTTCCAATCCCCACCTCAGCCATGCTGAGGATCTCCACTGCTGTCTTCACCGGTGTCAACCTCTCCGCCCTAAGGCCTCACTGAGCTCCACACCTCCTCCTGGCCCCACACTTCTTGTTAATCTTGTGGTGACTTCCCATTTCCCTTGGCGCAGAAAGACATGAAAATGGTTTCTTGAGGACTTGGGACACCCCCCCCACACACACTCTCCATGTACCAGAGCGGCAAGGGAGGCAGGTGCTGGCAGCCAGGGAAGAAGCAGCAGGAAGGCTCAGACCAAACTTTCCGTTATCAAAGACCAGGGGGTTACAGCAGGAGTGAGGGGAGTGGAATACTCCAAGGTTGGGACTTCTGGGTCTCAGGTGAGGCCTCTGAGGTTCAGTAAAGACTCTGAGATCAGCCGGGCGGTGGTGGCGCACGCCTTTAATCCCAGCACTCGGGAGGCAGAGGCAGGCGGATCTCTGTGAGTTCGAGGCCGGGCTGAACCAACAGCCTCCAAAACAATACAGAGAAACCCTGTTTGGTAAAAC